TTTCTTGCTTCAAATTAATGAATACAAGTGCCAAGGCTTCCATGACCTGGTCAATCATGCAGCCGTCGAAATTATCCAGGGTCTAGCCTATCTCCACTCCAAAGGAATAGCCCATCGAGATGTAAAACCGGCTAACGTTTTAGTAAATAATAGGCACTACAGCGCGTTGTCTGACCAGGGGGAAATTGCTCAGCAGTATGAATCGAGGCCGATTGCATGCAAGCTGACTGACTTTGGAGAAAGTCGCTCCCTATTCACTCAAACGCAAAGCGTTCTTGCGTCAAAAACCTCTAACTTAGATCGTGGAACGGTGGTGTACCTGGCTCCAGAAGTTCTTGTCGAGGAGCCGTGTTTATCTGGTGCATCTATTTCGGATTTAATGCTTGCGGATATTTGGGCGCTGGGGATGGTTTTGTTTTCAATGCTAAACCCCAGCCTAAAATGTCCTTATTTACTTGAGATTCGAGAGGCAGGGGGTGTTAAATCTCAGGAGGAACTCAAAACCTTCATCCGTTCTCTTCTTCGCGTGGGAAAACACCCTACTCCAGATGAAACCTATCAAGTTGAGCGTGGCACCGTGTGGTGTGCTTTAGAGGAGGTTTATAGAGGGTGTGTCCATTTCAACCGGCATGGTAGATTGTCCCTAGACAAGGCAGTGGACATCATGAGAAGAGAGGAAAATGGATACGAGGTAATTCCTTTGAAAGTTAGCCAGTCCACTGCCGTTCAACGGTTCGATCAGAATTTTGCTGCCCGTCTGGAAGAAAGTGGTTGTGAGGAGCCCGTTCAACCGGAATCTGTCCCCAGCAACGATGGCACCAACGCATGCGCTTTTCTAGCGGTTAAGATAGTGGACAGAATCCTGACGGAAATAGGAACCGATGGCGAAGTTTTTGCTGACATAGCTGATGCCGCCGAAGAAACAATATGGCTCTTACCTGAGAAAATAAATGAATATCGCGACATCAGTAAAATGTACGATCCCCTTGAGGCATATGAGCTTCTTCTGGCAAAAAAAATCATGCAGTCTACCTACGACTTCTCGGAAGAATTGCCCTTTTCAGATGGTGTGTTTTCTGTTGAAGGAAGACAAAAGTTACATTCCAAGCTCTGTGAACTTGGACGTGACAACTTTGCTGCTATCTTCACAAGTGCGCCCTGGGTATTGACAGTTGGATGTTTTAACGGCAGACCATTCTTGATCGACACCCATCCTGTTACTGCGAGACCTGGAACCGGTTCCGGTCTGGTGATTGTAGGAAGAGAAAAGTCCCCGGAAGTCTGGATGTCACTCTGCTGCTGGTTGTGGAAACGATTGTTCAACGGAGGTGTTGAGCCTGGCACGGGCCAGTCACTGGCAGTCGTTACACCTCGCACGCAGTAAGTAACATCCTGCTCATATTGTTATGAAAGAAAAAAATAATCAGATAAACAAGTTAACATTATCATAATTATTAATATTATTGTCATTGTTATTTCTGTTATTACTACTATCAGTACTCTATCGGTGAGCCAGAGAATTTAGATACTTACCAAAATTTACCGGTTTAAAAAGTTACAAGGGAGTATGGGTATCTCCCGATGATCAGTATCATTGTCACTGTCATCATCATCATTATTATTATTATTATCATTACTATTATTAGCAAGAAATGGCCTAATGTACCAGATCATATTTCTCAGAACAACAGGCTTTTGCTTTAGGTGACGCTACCGAAGCCACGCGGAAACGATTGTGAGTGACCGTCAAGTTTCAGCGGGAAAATTTGGTGATGGTAAAGAGCGTATATTGTCCTGTCAGCTTTCGTAAGGGTAACGAGGGAATCGAAAATTACTCTCGCTCGCGCTTCTCAAGCAACGACTCCTTTTGTCAGCTTTTGTTTCCGAATCTTATCCCTATTTCTTGAAACGATCATTATTATTTCTTATTTCCTTTTTTACTTGTAGTCAATCCCCTTGCGCAAAAACACATTCACGACCCTTAAAGAGGGTGGCCATGATGGCTTCGGGCTTCGACAACGTTGACGACGCTGTCTTTCCACCCCAAAGACTCAAGTTAGTATCGGCGACTCCACAGGATGCCTCCACCGAAAATCAAGGTAACAGCACTTGGTGATTATTAACCCGCTGGAATACAAGCGAGCGCTATGTTTGTACTCGTTCGATGAAAGTTACTTCAAATGAATATAACATAAACTCAATTTCTCAAACTCTCGTTTTCTCAAAATTCCCTTTTCTTGCACCAAATATTTTTTCCGTTGGATCTTACTTCTCTGCAATTTTAACCCTCATTTCTCGAACCTACGCACTTCTACAAGCACTTTTTGTTTCCCACGTAGGTTGGAGGAAACGGTATTTTACAGCAATATAAAAATGGAATCATCTTTCTTTCAGGCGTTGAAGTGCTATCAGACGATAGTATCTCCAGTACTGGCAAGAGAAATGATAAAGGTTAGTGGTTCTGTTTATTAAACACTTTCCCTTCTTGCCTTCATTTCGTTCAGTTATAGGAGATGGTGGCTTAACCTACAGACAGAAAGATCGAGATTTTCTACCTTACCTTTCGTCCACTGCCTTCGTCGTTCAAAGCGTTCCTGTTGCCATGGTAGCTTAACAAAAAAAAAAGGAGGGAAGAGGGGGGGGGGTTTCCTTGCTTTCTTCCACTGGTTACTTCTTTTTCTTGCTTGTCAACATATTGTAACAGCCTTTATTTTTTCAAGCCACAGTTTCTGTCGAGGAAAGCCCGGACCACAATCCAAGTGAAACGGAAGAGGTCATTTCAGACTTTGAAGGTACATCCATATCAGAGAAGAACAGAGAGGAGGTATGTATTTTTTACCTAACCCTTCTGCCATCTTATCATCCTCATGGAGTGTAAAAATATCACTTTAACGCGTTTCATTTGTAACCTTTGCCGCGTTTAATAATAACTTCATTACAATTTCGTTTGATCTAGCTTACAAAGTTGTTTCCGGAGAGAACAGTTATTAACTGCTTCGTTATATAAGGCAGCGGGGGCCTAGGTTAATCTGATGAAAACTGTGTAAAGTATCGGTCAACATTCGCGGGTGACACTGCAATGTTGCCCGCTCAAATACTATAGGCGGGAAACAGTTTTATTGTAAGATGCATGTGACCTCGTTCACCCTTTATTTTTCACAGCGCCTGCTACGCAGGCTAGGGAAAATGAGCCCGTAGCCATCCTTAAAGATCGGACTCTGGAGAGCGGTAGATTACGAGCGAGGCCTTCTTTTTTCCTCAGGGATAGTGGAGCGCGCGAAACACCGACGTACGTAAAAGTCATTAGGAGGGAGAAAGGCTTTCTCCTGTTGGGCCGGATTATCATGCCCGCTCTACTACCCCCGAGGAATAATAAGGCACCACTCGAAGTCTAAGGGGACAATGGAAATCGCGCCTACCTCTCTACTTTTCCTCTAAAAAGTATTAGCTGAATCAGAGTGTGTGATATTTTAAAGGTTATTTTTCATCTCCTATTTTTACAGAATAGGCCCGCTGTGGACGGAAGGAATGCTATTACTCGGTCTACAGAAACAAAAATAAACAAAATAATAAATATTGAGTCCTTTAAGCCAAATCTTGTTTTCTTCTTTCCTTTACAGGAAGAAAACCGCTACTCTCGCAAAAGAAAACATGCTGAAGACAGCGATTCCGATGACCAGCAACTATACATAAGTCCATTTGAAGATAACAGTAAGTTGTTTCTTTTAACGTTACTGTAACCAGCGTCGTTGGGATAAAATGTTATTTGAACAAGCGCGTACGACGGTCGTGCATGTGGCTGGAAGATCTATGGATCGTTTCACCTCAGGCCACTGCGCTCCTAGGTTTTTCTTAGCCAAACTTATACCGTACTTCGAGCATTTTCCGTTCTTACAACGAATCCGCCTACTCGACAGTTTTGTATATCCCCTTTCAACATCAGGAAAGGGAAAAACCCTTGTGACTCTATGTTTTATGTCGTTTAAAATAGTTCCGATATAACTAAATAGCAAATTAAAATCTTCATCCATCTCAGTAGCGAATAAATGTCTTGGACCACATAAACTACCTATGTAATTTTACTTTTATTTATGAATGTCGGTATATATGTTATTTATATAAATGGGATTTATATGTACATAAAATTATAGGTTTTCCTTGGGAAAGAGGGGGAATTCGAGTTTCACAGTTGCTCAAGGAGGGGGAAGAGGTCGCATAGATATTGAAAGGGAAGCAATACAAAACGCCCATGCACCAACCCCCTTCCCTCAAACCAACAACTATGAACACTCCCGAAGGTAACAGCGCAACTATTTTCTCACGCAAAACCCGAAACAGAGCAATTGTTCACGGTCCAAGAAGCCTTTAAAACTTTTGTAAAGTATTTGTATTTTCTCTGGGGAGCGGAAGGAGCTTTTGTTGAGAGTAGAAGAGTGCAAACGCCAAAAACTACGTTATTTCAGGTTTTGGGACCGAGAACGTAAAGTTTGAATCAGCTGAAATTTTAAGAAACGAGGATTAACATCTAATCTAATGTTATTTTCAGGTGCCATAAATGGCTTTCCCGTTTACAGAAGATCAAAAGCTGGAATCACGGCAAAAGAAATCTTACAATTGTGCATTGACGGTGACCTTCCAGACAAAAACGTGTGCAAAAGAGTTCCTGTCGGTGTAACAGAAAGTGCGACTTTTATCGTGGATCTGGAGGCAGTTCATTACAAAGACTTGACAGTGGATGACAACGGATTCTACGGAGCTCATTCCAGTCCAACTGAGCACTTTCAGGTTTTTATTGATGGTCGAGGAAAAGTCAGTGCCATGTGCAGAATTTCCAAGCCTGACCCAGAAAGCGAGAGTGCGGTCTTTACCGCCTATGACCACTTTGTTATCAGAAGACAGTACAGTTGGCCAAGAAGTGACAAGAACTTTCGTCGTATGATAGCGAAGGTTGAATACGGAGGGAAATTTTGCGGTTTGCTATCGTACAGTATACTGTCAATATGACCCCTGATGAAGCAAAGCTGCTTTTCAGTCAGACAAAACGCCATTCGGGAACCCAGGTGAGAACTAAACCAAGTGTTCTTGAGAGAGTGAGACAATTGGGCGATACGTTTAGCGCTAAGAAGATTATCAATCACATTCAAAAGGAAGCAGGGGGCGTAGTGTCGATATCGTCTCCATCCGACTTTCCAAGAGATAGACAACAAGTTTACAATCAACTTCGACAAGTTGAGGGCAGGAAAAAATCTCGAAGCACTGACCCAGCTAAGTCACCGGACATTACCAAGTTGTTGTCTCTCCAGCAAGCCGGAAGATTTATCCGTGATGTGAGTATGGGTGCAAGATCAGATAATAAAGGCGAGATTCGAGCAGCAGTGAGCACGTTTGCAGCCACCAATTACAGTATCGGTTGGATAAAAAGATTTTGTCACCCGCGTTCAAGTCCAGCTTCAGTGGCTGGAGTGGATATGACGTACAAATTAGGGCCCTTCTACCTCACAACAGTAACTTTCCCTAATCCAATGTTCGTGTACAAAAACAACGAAAGTAAACATCCTACAACCCTGGCAGCGGTAATGACCTCAGTGTCCAAGGAAACACGCGACTATGAGTATCTCGCAAGGTCATTAAAGTCGGAAGGGATAGAGTCATTGACGTACGGAACGGATGGAGAGTGTGCGCTAGAGAGAGGCTTTGAGAGCGTCTACCCCATTGAAGGTCCTGCTTGCACAAACATTCATTTACGCTGCTTCGACCACGCCAAAGGTGACATTATTATGAAACTGAAAGATCTAAATGTGTCCGAAAGTGAAAGAAAGAAAATTCAACAAGAAATACTGGGAAGCGAGTTCGGGGGAAAGCGACTGAAAGGTCTGGTCGATTGCGAGAGTGAAACAGAATTTGAAGAACTGTACGTGAACAAAGAGGCTCATTGGCCTGAACAGTTTAAAGAATGGATGGTAACCAACAAAGGGAGGCACAGATCCATGAAGGCGACTTTAAAGTTTTGTATGTTGAAACCAATAAGAATTGCAGCCGGCCTTGGTAACCCCCCTAACAAGTGGGATAATCAAAGGACAGAATCGCTCAACAACGTCATCAAAGAAGCTGCGGAGAATCAGGTAACTGATCAGGCTACCATTCACGAAATTCTAGAAGCCGAAGTAATACAACAACAAGAGCAGGAATACATCAAAGCTATTTACGGCATGGGGGAATACAGGCTGGCCCCAGAATTTCAAGCCTATTCCGTTACCCCTTTAGCTTGGTCTCAGAAGACACCCGAGCAGCAACGGCAACACGTACAGAAAGTCCTTAAGGTCCCGTTGTGTTCATCTTCCAATCAAATCCAACCTACGACGAGACTGTCCATTTCAGTCGAAGAATGTGGGGTGAGCAGCGTAGCCGCGGGATTTTTGAATCAAATTTGGCACGAATCAGAAATAATTCTGTCTCATCACAAAGTAATCGATCTGGGTGGAGGTTCGTATTGTGTGACCGAGTTTGGAAACAGTGTGAATGTCACGATCAAAAGTGGTAGCCCCACATGTAGATGCCGTAATTCCCAAAGCACAGCAGGTCTTTGTTCTCACATTCTTGCCGTGGCTGATACGATAGGAACACTTCCTGCGTTCTTAGATGGTTTCAACAAGAAAAAAGGTAAATCACGCAACATACTCGGTGCTAACATTCCAAAAAGGGCAGGCGAAAAGGCCAAGGAGAAGAAAAAACGAAAGGGACAGAATAATGTGGAACTCACTCCAATCATAGAGGAAGTAACAAGACCAGACAGTGAAATAGATTTCCAGAAGCCTCTTGCGTTCACAGAAATATGGCACAACAACAACAACTTTTACGTTGTCTTCACCAAAGAATGCAGTAAGGCTAAAAAGTGCTAGTCGTGTAAAGTGGAATCTGCTAGAGGTGGTGTAGTGTGCATTCCACAGGACATTGCAATACTTCATAAAGAACGATACTATTACCCAAAGGAAGACGGCAAGGGAAGAGTGACTATGGAACCCACGTGGAGTCGGGAGGCATCCAGATTTTATTGCATAAAAAAGGATTGCATTTTAAGAAGGCATCCATACTTTTGGAAGGGAATGGTTGAGATTGACGATGACGTACGACTGAACTTGAAAGAGGGTCATTTGAAACTTTTAAGGGAGGCCTTACACTTGTCCGTTTGATTTGTCCGTCTTATGTAGTTTTCACCTATTGGTCAATGGCTTTACCAAAGTGACGGCGGCTATTTTTTAACTTCAAGGTAAAAAAGGAAGTATAAGCGCTAAATCGGCACATAGAAGGCGTTATCACCTTTAAATTTTCTAACTACAATTACTTTTTAAGAAGTTGATTGTGTGACGGGTCACGTAAGACTTTTTTGTTTCGCAAATTGATAATACTGGAGGAATTGGCCACGGGAAAAGGGAGAAATCAAGGACAACGTCTCTAGGATGCGTAGAAAGCCTTCCGTTCCCTCAGGCTTAGAATATACGGTCTGCTTTTCTTCACGTTGCTGTGTTTGTGCACCAAAAAAAATCTAATTTTAAACCTCCAGGACAACATGTCCAGGATGATATTTGAAAACACGGATGGTTACAGGTCTTAAATCCCCAACTAAATTAGCCTCCATTTCGCCGATTTCCTGT